TTGTTTACTGGAAGTGAGTGTTGGATATGTCAGGATAAACAATGAAGTACGTTGAATGCAATCGTAATGTGGTAAGTGTGTGTGGTATAATAATACAGGAAGAATGAAATTTGACTCACAGAACAAGTATCTGAAGGAAAAGTGAATGAATGAAGAGAACAGGGAAGACCAAGAAAGTCACAAGTAGATGGAGTTGATGAAATCCTCAGAAACAGAGATGAGAAGTTTAAATAAGGAAAGGCAAAATATGAATTAGTGCAGGAACTTGGTAGAAGCAAGGATATTTGAAAGGAAGAATGTATGGAGAGGTATAATAATTGTTGGTGTAAACTAGATTCAGCAATGCATTTTTTTTATTAACATGCCTTTAGTTTCTTTTGCTTATTATTTTGTACTCCATTACTTTGCTTTGCATATTGTTATTTATCCCAAAAGAAAAATGGGTGATGGGTATATGTGTTTTTGCTTAAATATTTCATGTCCAAAGACAACCTGACTTGAATTAGAATATGCTATATGAATGCTGTCTTCGCACAACAGTAATTTTCCATGACTTCAGGGTATGAGTTGAAGGAAAGTATGTCTGAAAATATTCCAGGAACTAGCCAAATGATGTATTCTTAAAATACATTATTAGCAAGCAATAAATATTTCAGGGAATCCCAAGGTAAGCTGGTTGAAACGTTAACAGTTTGTTGTTCACATTGATTTAATTGGGTAGGAAAAAGAACTATGAGGCTGGAGTGAATCCAATTTACAAGTAGATGGGGCAGGGAAGAGAAGAATAGAAGTGCTCTCCTTCCCTGCAGTCCCCTTCTCCAAGTGCTTTTCTTTCACTCCTGTTGTTGGAAGCCACAAGTGGGAAAAAGTATCTGGAAAGAGTGAAATGCATCTGTTCTTTCTAAAAGATCTGTTCCTTTTTTCAGCATTATAGTGGGAGAGGGAAGTAATTTATTAATTTCCTTTTTGTATGGAGTCGGAGCAAGGAGATTCTGGTTCTTCTCATCCTTCATGACTGGTGATACCTCATGATGTGGGGCACTGATTGGATGCTCCATGTTGTGCTCTTGGTTGGTCATCTTGAAAGTGAGAGTATCAATTGGCTCATGAGGTTCTCTGTGAGCCTAGATGCACAAGTAATAGACAACACTCATTGTGATGTCAGCACAGATCTGCAGATAGCAAAGATAATAGATTGGTTTCAAACTGCTTTGTGAATGGTTAAGTTTTAAATACATAGGAGTTAACTTTATTCAACCATACTGGGGATTATGTTGGGGTAAAAAGTGCTAGTTGTCACCTGTAAAGCCCTCATGGCATGAGGCCAAGTTATTTGAAGGATTGCATCTCTCCAGTTGTCTCTACCTGCCCTATTAAATCTGACACGAGGGGTGTGCTTCAAGTCCCATCAAATTAAATGCCATTTTGCAGGATCCAGGAAGCGTGTCTTTTCTGTCATGACACCTGCCCTCTGGAACACCTTGCCACCCAAGATCAGAATGGCCCTACTTACTGGCCTTCAGAAAGCACTCAAGGCCTGGCCATTTGCCCTGGTATGGAGGTTGGGAAGTTAGCAAAGCTCCAGGGATTTGTTATTATTCTGAGGTTTTATTTTCTTCTTTAGTTTTGATTATGTGTTTCATGTTTTTTATAGTTATTTATGTAGCTGTTTTAAATTTTGAAACTTTTTTGCCACCCAGAGTTGCTTTGGTGTGATGGATGGGCATATGCATTAAATAAAATAAAGAAATAAATATGTATAGAATTATACTAGAAATCAGGGAATCCTTTCAGAACACTAAATATTTTAATTGAACAAATAGATTTCTTTGCACAGTGTCATGAATGTAGTTTATAAAATAAGGTAAGATTACTTTAACTGAAGTAATGGATATGCTGCATTAAAAATATAAGGATTATCAGATCCGGGCTGTGAAAATCCAGCCAATCACTAGATGGCAGCAAAATTATACAGAAAAAAATGAGCCCTTTGTTGCCCTGTAATGGCCGTTCAGATTTCTGCAGCCCGTATCTGGTAGTCGTAAACAATATCAAGCTGACATTCCACCAGTTAGCATGTGGCTTGGTTTATGGGCCTGAATCAGCTGAGCCATCACTAGACATGTGACAAGGACACTGGAATGGCAACCTTTTACTGCAAGTTCCTTCCAATTCTGTGATATTTTATTCAAGAAGGCCATTTGGTAATTTTGTGTCTTGTCTTTCTGAAGCATCCTTCTTATCTGTTTGCTGGGTCAAAGCTGCCCTTCCTGAGTTTTACTTTTTTTTTTTTTGGGGTCATAAATTAAAGATAATGGAAGTAGCAGCTGCAGTGCTTACCATATATGGGATATTGGCAAGTTGCTTGGTTCTACTCTTGGTATACAGTATACACTTGATGCCTTTTAAGGGAACGCAGTGCATGCAGAGTGAAAATATCCAGAAACCAAACATGTATTTCATAGACTTGCCACTTTTGTACTGCTGTTAGCAGCAGATGAGAAATATAAGACCAGAGTTTAACACTTTGAATAGAATGGAAAAACTTATTTTTTCTTCAGAAATCTTAGATAAGATCTCCAGAACAACAGAGAGAATTACTGTCCAAGTTTTGCATACAAGATCGTATTTTCATGATTAACTGTTCAGGCTTATACAATAGTACAAGCTTTTACTAAATAATAAACTGCTGTCTTTGCATATACTTTGAGGAAAAAACTCCATTGAATTTAAGAGTAGCCTCAGTAACTTTTGAAGTACTTTCTGTTAAAAAACATGCAGGCTATATAAAATTCTCGAATGCCTTATCACGTCCTTTGCTGCTCTCACAGATGTTCTTGGTTATACTCCCATTCTAGTCATAGGATATAGCACACAATACTGTCTTGAATATTCTGTATTATACAGTCTTTTTGACTGAAGATGAAACAGCCATATTTGTGGGTTAAGTACATTTGAAGATAAAAGCTTTCTTTGTCTAAACCAGGAGTCCTCAGACTTTTTGAACGGGGCCAGTTCATGGTCCCTCAGAATGTTGGGGGGCCGGACTATAGTTTGAAAAAAACATGAACGAATTCCTATGCACACAGAGGATCCCTCCCGCAGAGTATGAGGAGAGGAGGAGAGCCGCCGGACCCGGTGTGTACCTGTCATGTAGAATAGTCCGGCTCTGTGATCTCCCCCCTCATGCATTGCCTGCAGCTCCCGACACAGCCCCGACACTTCCACTTCTGACAGACAGCAGCGGCGACCAATCAGGCGGGCAGGCCGGATAAATGACCCTGGTGGGCCGTATCCAGCCCACGGACTGTACTTTGAGAACCCTGGTCTAAACTATTTATATTTTTAAATTTCCATTTTTTTCCTAATAAAATTAGCTGGCTTTTTCTAAGTATCTTTTTAATTTCACAGGCATCCTTATATATTATATTTATTTATATGCCATAAAAGGTGATAGTATTAATATGCAGTTTTAGCTTTATATTTTAAATAATGTTACCTATGTGTTAGGATATTCTATAGTAATGTAATTTTACAGATGACTGGTACAAAGAGGAATGCATGAGAATTTGAGTTTTAGTGCTGCAATACTAAACACAGGTACTAAGGAATACGCTGGGACTACTTTTAGGTACAAATGCATTGTTTTGCACTGTGATTTTCTTACAAGAGCTCCTATTAAATTTTTTACTTTGGATAATGATTCCTGTTCCAACCAACCAACCAACCAACCAACCAACCAACC